AGTAGTAGTAGTCGCAGTAGCAGTAGGAGTAGTAGTAGTAGTAGTAGTAGTAGTAGTGGTTGGAAGCAGGGTAGGTTACTATTGTCTGGTGTTTGGACCCTTAGGGGTATACCTAAAACCATTTGGCAGATCGGGATGAGGGATTTAAGAGTGTGGGTATTGACTTCCAGGGCTTTTGTGCTCGGGTCTGACGCGAGGTGACAGCCCATGATATTCTCCTCATGGCATCATCACCGGTTCTCAGGGTCATGCTGGAGTCCTCCATGGTAGAGGGCAAGCAGAAGCGCATCAAAGTGAAAGACGCTGCAAGCAGTGGTGTCTCACTTTTCGTCGAGATGCTGTACACAAACGCAACCCGGTCACAAGTAGGCGGCTCCTTGTAATTCTGTTCCACAGCTTCTGAAACGACAGTGCTTCTGTTTCTTTCCTTCCTCACTTTGGCCCAGGCAACACGCCACGGCCCGGATTACAAGACAGTCTTGACAGCCCTGGACTTGGCACACCGATGGCAAGTGGAGAATGTGGTGCAGATCCTTGCCGACGCTTGCCTCTCCGATTTGAGTCCTTTGTGCGTGCCATCTATGTCTAGGCCTGTACGGTTGAAGCTTCCCGAGCTCAAAATTGAAAGTAGCTCTGAGAACCCCTACACCCCTACTCATATCCGGAGTTCTAAGTCCTGGCTCTACTAGCCCCCACCTACTGCCCTTGACGGTCTTCAATGTCCACCGGGAGCTATGGCAGGTCTTTAAAGCGTAGCTATATACTACAGCCGGCATGTGTATATATATATACATACATATATGTATATATATATATATGCACTTATACCCCTCCTTTGTAGGTCCACTCACCCTGCAAGTGGAAGGGACTGAACTCTAAACATATGGAATCATAACAAGGAGCCCCTAAAAGTTGGGTTTAGGGTTTCGGTGGTTTTGGAGTTTAGGGGTTTGGGGGTTTAGGGTGTAGGGTTTAGGGTGGTATAGAGCTTTATAAGCTCTTTAGAACCTAAGGGCCCAGGGTTTGGGGTGTAGGGTTAGGGTTTCATAACCCTCTAGAAAGTAAGGTTTAGGGTTTAGGGTTTGGGGTAGTCTCTAATTACGGGGCTTTGAGAGTCTCTGCGAAAGCAAGGATGCCTTGAGGGACATGATCACCTTCGACAGCTTTATTCCCATCGCAGAGGCCTGATCTGATCTCTTCAGCTGTGCAGCCTAAACCCCACACCCTAAAGCCCTAAAAGCGTTGACTGTTCTGAGGTTTTAGGGCTTGTTGAGTTTATCATTTGTTGTGCTCAGACTTAGGGCTTCGGGCTTTTGGGATCTAGGGCTTGAGGGCTTAGGATCTTCGGGCGCATCTTGCAGAACCTGGCAACATAAGCCGTAAGCCCTGACCCCCCAAGATCCTAGGTTGCCTCAAACCTTCGGGACCAAAGGACCCTTATAAGTAGGGGCCCTATACCCTTTTGCCATGAAACCCTATATGTTCTTTGAACCTGAAACCCTTTTTAGGGGTCCTCTGACCCGCCAAGTGAAACCTTCGTTCCGAATCCGAAGCCCGAGGTGGGTTTATGGCCTGATACGGGCCGGGCGTCCAAGGAATCAGCAGCATTCTTTCTTGAAGCAATACTAAGATAGATCCCAAGCTGCCTTCATGTCGTCCTGAAGGAACCGTACGCCCGCGGTATGGGTCCTGGTTCTGAGTACCCAGCCTCTACGGCTGAAGCCCCAAACCCGAAACCAGAGACAGAGATGCAACTAGAACCCTGATTTCGTAAGCTAAAGCTTAAGCCCTGACCCCCAAAGCCTAAGCCGTAAATTCTACAGGCTATCCCTACACCATAAAACCCTAAAGCCTAAAGAACGATCCGGAGCCTTGAACCCGAACTCCTGAACTTGACCTCCGGAACAGCTCCAACCGTAGATACGAACCCTTTACTGCCTCAACCTAAACGAACTGTAAGTGCTCGACCCCGAAAAATTAAATCCAAAAGCCCAAGCCGTGAATCCCCCAAAACCCTAAACCCTAAACCCTAAACCCCTAAACCCTAAACCCCTAAACACTAAAGCCCTTAAACCCTAAACCCTAAACCGTGCCACCGCAATTCGGAACGAGGTTCCTTATCCCAAAGAGCCCTTTGAAAACAGGTTTAGGGCTTAGGGTTTAGGGCAGGTCTTGAAGCCCCAAACCCGGAAGCCTAGGCCCGACGCCCGAAACTTTAAACCCTAAGCCCCAAACCATAGCAACATAAATGCCATTGAGACCTTAAGCTCCAAGCCCTATCCCAGCACAAAGAAATGCAAGGCAAGCCAAAACCCCCAACCCCAAAATCCACAAACCCCGAGCCCTGCGTTGAAACCCTCAGCCTCAAAATCACCAAAATAGAACGAACAAAAGTCGAAGGCTGCGACCCTGGAAGGGCTCCTACACCCTACCCCTAAAGCCCTAAACCCTAAGCCCGAAACCCTAAAACCCGGGGCCCTAGACCTTAAACTCTAAACCCTAAGCCCGAAATCCTAGGCCCGAAACCCTAAACCCTAGACCCTAAACCCTATAATCCCTAATCCTTAAAAGCCCCAAAACCCTAAAGCCCAAAGCCCTAAACCCTAAAAGCCCTAAACCCTTCAGCCCGAAACCCGAAACCCTGAACCCTAAGCCCTAAAACCGAAACCCTGAACACTGCTCCTTAAAGCCCCCAAAATCCTAAAGCCCTGAGCCCTAAGAGCCGCAAACCCTAAGGGCCCTAACCCCAAAACCCCCAAAACCCTAAAACCCTAAAGCCCTAAGCCCTATGAAGGCTGCGACCCTGAAAGGGCTCGAGATGCTGAAAACTGCGTGTGCGGCCTACGGGGCGGCCAATGAGAAGCTCCAGAGCCTTCTGAGCCCTGGGTTTGAGGCTTTAGGGGGTTTAGGGCAAAGTTTAGGAGGTGTCTTTGGGTTTGAGTCTTTGGGGTTTAGGGTTTAGGGTTTAGGGCAAAGTTTAGGGTTTGTGGCTCTTAGGGCTTAGAAGGTTTAGGGCAGGGCCTTTGGGGGTTTTTAGGGTTTGAGGCTTCAGGGTTTGGGGTTTAGGGCTTTAGGACGTTTAGGGTTGAGGGTTTGAGGCTATATAGGATTTAGCAGGTTTAGGAGGGTTGGGTCTTTGGGTTTGAGGCTTTATGGGGGGTTGAGGGTTTAGGAGGTTTGGGGGTTTGGGGTCTCGGAGGTTTAGGGTCTTTGGGGGTTTAGGGTTTAGAAGGTTTAGGGGTTTAGGGTTGAGGGTTTGAGGCTTTTAGGGTTGAGGGTTTAGGGTTTCGGAGGTTTGAGGCTTAGGGTTTAGGGGGTTGAGGAGGTTTAGGAGGGTTTGGGGTCTTTAGGTTTGAGGCTTTATAGGGCTTTTAGGGTTTAGGAGGTTTAGGGTCCTTGGGGGTTTAGGAGGTTTAGGGTTTAGGAGGCTTTAGGGTTGAGGGTTTAGGAGGTTTAGGGTCTTTGGGGGTTTAGGGTTGAGGGTTTAGGAAGTTTAGGGTCTTTGGGGGTTTAGGGTATAGGGCTTTTAGGGTATTACAATTTAGGGGTCTTATTACAATTAAGGGTTGAGGGGTTTGCAGTTTAGGGTTGAGATTTTAGAGTTTAGGGTTGGGGGTATTACAATCTAGGGTTGAGGGTTTTGCAGCTTAGGGTTGCGTGTTTAGAGTTCAGGGTTGAGGGCTCAGGGTTTAGGGGTTGAGGGCCTGGGGTAGGTTGAGAGTTTAGAGTTTAGGGGTTGAGGATTTCAGGTTGAGGGCGTAGGATTTAGCATTTAGGGCTGTCCCAAGACTCAGTGCTGTTTTTAGCCAGAACGGCCTGTATGTGCTTTACAGTGCCTTTAGAAAGGATGTTAAAAGGCCTTCAGAAAACAAGGGGAACATTTCGGCAGACGGGTTGAGCCCTAATCTTTATAAGCCAGATCCAGGTTTTGACCATGTGTCCATGCATGAGAGGTTGCTTGTTTCTTTGCTTGCTTGTTTTGGATTTGTGTACAGATACATACATGTATGTGCATTCTTGAACATTTCCCAGTCAATGCTTGAAGCAGCGCAAAAACTCGTTTTTGTGTTGTGTTCATGCTTGAACTGGATGTACATACATACGTCTAAGTGCACTGTGGGGCTTTTGAAACATGGGTAATTGGTCCTCCTGACCGCGACGTTAAGTCGTTGGCCACGGGTTCAGGAGAAAGCTGAGCAGTAAAAACCTTAAACCCTAAACCCTACACCCTAAACCCTAAACCCTAAACCCTACACACCAAGGAAGCACGGCCGGCTGCCTGCTGCCGTAAGCAGGTTGCTGGGCCAAGCAGAGTCCCCCAATGAGGAGCAGAGCAGCAAGAAGCGCCGGGTCTTCTGACGCGTCGGGTTTAGGGTGTAGGGTTTAGGGTTTAGGGTGTAGGGTTTACGGTTTAGGGTTTAGGGTTTAAGGCGTCTGGTTTAGGGTGTAGGGTTGCATAGACTTGCTTCTGATCTGGGAACGACACTAGCGAGAATGACAACAACAACAACAACAGGGTTTGGCGAAATACCAGCCATAACGGCATCACTACACTAGCAGTCGAATTTGATACCCATAGTCTTAGTCCGAATGTCAGAAGTGATACTGACTGACAGTGTAAAACTCAGTTTCTGGTGCATTCAGCAACAAACCCTAAAAGGACAGTAGGGCGCAGAATTCGGCAGCAGTGAGTTCCGAGGCTTAAGCCCATTCCTGCTGGACTGCACCAGTCGCATGATGAGGTCAAAAACGGAGGCTGTACACGTCAGTGATGAAAGAGGACCGAATAATTAATAGCTAGTAGTAGCTTAGTAGCCCCTTTGGTACCTTTGAATAGTTAAATTAATATAGAACCTAGTCAACACCCCAGAATTACTTAAACCGATTCTATACCTCTAAACCCTAAAGCACTGATTTCCCCCATCTTTGCATGTTGCCCTGGTTTTTGAGTTGAGGGATCTGCTGGAAAAAGGGAGACCTTGTGTCGACGCCCTACAATTTGAAGTCAAATCCTAAGCCCTGCGGTTGATGATATAAATCCTGCATTACCCATAATAATAAGGAATATGCCATGATTCCCATATATTTTGGAGTCCTTAAGGTAATGCAGGATCTATTTCATCAACCGTGTGACCCTCGATCCTGCGATTTTCGGTTTTGGGGTGCTGGGTTTCTGCAGCCGGTTGAGGGCCAGGGTCATCGTGATGGTTTAACTGTGTAAGTCAAACTTGAATGGGGACGGTTTGGGGGTCAGGGTTTAGGGCTCACAGGGGCCTTTATCATTACCTTTGCCATCTTGAGGGGGGGGGGGGTCCTTACTATAATTATAGTATAATATGCCCCAAAACCCTGTTCTAATCATTAAGGCCCCTACATCTTAGGGATGGTGAGGATGGGCCTCGTGATGTGATTCAGTGCCATAGACCTTTTGAGCCCATGGAAAGGCCTTGTCGCAACTGCTTGAAAGATCGTGGGACCTATAGCCCCTATAGAGTTAGAAATCAGGTAAAGTTTTGCACTCACTTACAACCCAATTAAG